GTGACTTCACAGACATTAAAGAAGTCAGCACACTCTCACCTGAAGCCCCCCACCCCACCCCCACCATGTGAAGTTGCTGCTACAAAGAGATGGGAAGTCAGCAATTGCAACTGTGTATTCTTACAATCTCAGAGTTTTTACAATGGCCAACTACTCCTCTATCCCTGGAATCAGAGGCCGCATGGTATACAGTATGGCTTACTTACTTACTAAGTTTGATGCTTGGGGTATGGAACCTCACTTATCTCCTAAAATCTTTGAAAATAGGCAGAGAGTTTGACTATTAGTCCAGCAGAATGGGAGTGTCTCTTCATAAGCCTACCACACTATACACATGGAGCTAACAACTCTTTTAATATAATTCTTACCCTGAAGAGCAATTGCTCTTTTCTTCTGTCTGTTTACCTATCCATCTTAATGGCACTTCTCTCTGGTTTGTAAAAAGAAGCCTCTCTTTTCATATAAGGCCTTGTCTGATGTGTTTTAAATATATTGTATACTGTTTTAAATATATTGTTTTACAGATTCTCTCCTACCTCAAGGCTCCATTGTAGTCTGAAGTCCCGTTCTCCTAATAAACATTACTCCAGAGCAGTTATGTGGTACATCCTTTCCTGAGAAGACTGCTTGCGCTACACTCATATTTACCAATGTGTCATTGACATTGGTATTGCTCCATAGTTCTTGACAGAGAGGAAATGAAATGTGTGTGTGTGTGTGCACACGTGTGTGTCCATATATGTAAACTTATAAGGCAAACGTGCTCTCCAAATTACCCCAGCACCATTGCGCTTTAACATTCATTCCCCCCAGAAGTTCTAAAGTCTTTTCCAGTGTTGCAGTGCTGCAACTGCACAGACTCCCTGCATGCTTCCTTTTTATGAATTTCTAAAATAGTGTGGAAGTCACACAAATGTTCATTTTGAAGGAATAATTAATATCTATTCTCTGTCAGTGTTTCCTCTCAATTTACAGTGTGAAAAAATGGCAGTCAAGTTGCTATTTGCTTCCTACAATAAAACCGTGAGCAAAGGTGGTGGGCACGCAGTTCACCAAAGAGGAAATTTGACCAGAAATATATTGACAGAGATTTTGTTTTACTATCAAATAAAGGTGTACAAATTTCAAAGAATGCTATTTTCTACTATTAAATTTGCATAGGAAATGTTCATAAAGACTTTACAAAACTGGCAATCACCCACATTGCCTCCTAGGGTTGAAGCTGACATGTCCCTGTGGGAAGACATTTGTTCACCTCAATCTAGTAGAATTAAAGGGCCTGGCTCATTTAACCCCTTGAGTGGCAGCCAGAACTGTGTAGGATGAAGTCACTTGGTTTATCTCACTCGGCCATGCTGGCTGCTCTACTTTCCTGCTGATTGTCTCCTGCTCTCCGAACTTCTGTTCAGCCATTTATACTGTTTATCTCCTAGAACTCTGCTGAAATGCCACATAAGTGGTGGGCTGCTAGAATTCATGACCCCAAAAGATTCCTTTGCCATAAGGACTAAGTTGAGTTAAAGTTCACTGAGAACAAGCAAAGGCAGGAAAAAACTCCAGAGGTGGGGTAGGTTTTTTGTTGGAAAGGAAATCCACATGTACAAACATCTAACTGTACTCTACCAGGAGTTCTTGAAGATGACGTATTTGGTAAAAATGTATGTTTTGATACAGCTAAAAATAGTTTTAAAAAACCTCAAAACTGATTAAAAAGGGGCATTCCCAACCCTGGTGATCCTCCACTTCTTTAATTAGGAGAGATTGTGGCCATAGGAGCACGTTTATTCATGAATAATTATCTAATTACAGATGAACTCTCTTGACGAAAGCTTGACTCAGAGACATAGAACCCAGAAGTACTTTCTCCCTTAACCCTTTGCTTACAGAGGTCAACAGTCAAAGATGGGTTTAATCCTGTTTCCCTTGACACCTAAATGTGGACACGTGTGATTAAAAGACATACACCAAAGATGGATAACTCTAAAAGACAAAAAGATGTTCATTTAAGGCAAGCACAATCATCTTTCCAGCTGCAAAAGCACAGGCTTTATTATAATTAGTAAAGGAAAAATTGTGGAGGTCCAAAAATGTGAGCCCATTTCCACCTTGTGTGAAGGTCAGAAAGTTAGAGGACACTCAATATTGCTAAATAGAGGAGAAAATGAAAGGGGGAAGGGGAGAAGGGAGAAGAGTAGAGAGAGGCAGATAGAAAAAGAAACAGAGAGAGGGGAGAAGGGGAGAGGTTGAGGGAAGGGAGTGAGGCAGGAGAGAGACAGAAAAGGAAGGATCTCAGACTAGAAGCAGGAAGATCCACCCACCTCTGCTGTGGGGGGGGAGGGGGAGAGTGGGCGAGGTTTGTCTCTTAAAGGGACAGGACAGACCATTACAAGGAGGACCCTAAAATCTGCAAAACAAACCTAACACTAATCCCATATTGTTTCTGCTCATATCTCCATAAATTGCCTTTCCCACCTAGAACTACCAAAGTTTCTTTTCCTTAAGTATAAATGACATTGAAGCCTAAATTCAAAACATCCCTTTGTCACATTTACTTCAGGATATTTCATGTGTTAGATTTATGATTTAATTCCAAGCCAAACTCTTATCTGATTCATCTGTCTCCTGGGTAGAGCCTATCAGAGAGAACCTGGTAGTGAAAAAGTTATTTTTCAATCCATGTTCTTTTCCTATACAACAGTGATAGTGATATAAGAAGATGCCATCTGCACATCCCCTAAAGCCCAAATGAAAGGATACAGTAGAGACTCTTGGTACCCTGTGCCAATACAAAGGTTTCCTGGGTCTAAGTAGGTTACAGAAGAGAGGGGAAGAGGCCCTAAAATCATATGTGCTGAAGGTCTTTCAAATGTTGGGAACCCCGTGGATAACTCATTTCCTCGATGTAATTTGAATCATATTAATCAAGTCAGGGGAAGAAAAGGGAGACAACATAGATGAAATTTTCCTTTTAATATCACCATTAATAATACAAATAAACTGAGTGCTTATTATCAATGGCTGGATGAGGAGACTGTAGTGAGGTCACCTTTTGGACAGTTATACAGTTACCTCACATGAGTGTGTGGCAATCATACCGAAAACAGAACTGACTGCTTTCCTTTAAGTCTGGCTTGTAGACTGTAGAACGTGTAGCCTCTCTCCACGTATGTTTCCATTCACTTGTTGGCCCCACATGAGAAGAGCTGAGCGAATACTAACTTTGCTTTCCTAAATTGACTCTTCCCGATATAGAGCACCTGGAACTCAAAACACATGTAAGGCCTTTCAAATTTGTTCTCACCATACTTGATGGCAGCTCCTTGGCTTTCCTTCCCAAAGCATTTTCTGAGAAAAAAAAAAACTCATGATTAAACATGTGGTGGTGGTGCATGCCTTATTCCCAGCACTCGGGAGGCATAGGTAGGCAGATCTCTGTGAGTTTGAAACCAGCCTGGTCTACAAGAGCTAGTTCCAGGACAGGCTCTAAAAAGCTACAGAGACACTCTATCTCTAAAAACCAAAATAAAATAATAATAAAATTTAAAAAAATAATAAATAAATAAATAAGTAAATTAAAAATGCAGATCTCCTAAGCTCAAAAGTATTTTTCATGAGGATATCGAGGCCTTTCTTTGGAATGCAATCACCAGGAAGGATAGGCGCTCTGTATCACAGTCCTGTGGGAAGGTAGATTTCTGACCCCAATATTGGCTAGCCAGTGGACACAGCTGCCTGATGACATTTACACTGTCCAACACTTCGCACTCTTAATTCCCTACCTTTGATTAAGTCCTTGCTCCGTCTTACTTTACTACTCTCCTCTGCCCTTTACCAGGTCTGGTCACTGCTGAATCTATTGAACTTAAGTAGAGTTCCTGCTGGACCCCTTTTCCTATTCGATGTTACCTTACTGATCGCAGTCTGTCCCTGCTGCTTCCTCAGGTGTCTGGCTTTGTTTATCATTCTCAGGGCCAGTTGCTAAGGAACTGACATCCTCATCATGGTGGCTGTTGAAGGTGCTGGGATTACACTCATGAGAAATCATTAGCAAAGGCATTCTCTGTGTTTCTGAACAAAACAATCCTGCACACTGCCATGAATAAAAGTTTAAGGAAACTTTGCTGGGAAGCAATTCAGATTTATGAATTTCACATTAAATCAGCTAAGTACATCTGTTACGCTCATCATAATGGCAGCTTTGGGGTAATGATTTCTTAGAATCGCAAATGATGTGCAAATTCTCAACGATTTAAGCATTTGGAGGGGCAGGCATACGGCCTGGGTGATTGCCTATTATCCTCAAACACCCGGGTTGTACCATGGCCTTTGTTGTTTCATTTCAAGCCTCAGAAACTAGAAGCAGAATCTCCTGTGGGGGCAAAGATTTAACCCTTTAAGGCGTGTCTCGGCATGTGTTAGATAGCATCTCATTGTGTTTAATCCACTACTTTGCGATGTATCTAAAAAATGACTAAAAGTACTTCTCAAAGAATGAAGCAGGCAGAGTGAGTATGTGTTCAGCTTCCAGATTTGTGTCCCACACACAGCAGCAAGCCTGCTATTAGAAGTGACTATGTGACTACAACTCTCATTTCTCTTTTAACCCTAACCATGAACTTTTCATGCCCTTCATAACCTGATTTGGATGTGAGCCAGCCTTCGAAGTATGATATTGTATTCCTGCCATATTTCTGATCCTAAGTAAAGACCGAAAGTAGTTTATGGGACAAACAACCAAAAGCCCTATCACTGTCAGAAGTCAGTTATTACAAAAGACTAGAATCATCTTTCTAATTTAGTATTTGACACACACACACACACACACACACACACACACACACACGCCCATGCACACACATTCACACAGCTGCAAAATGAATTAAGCAAGAATAGCTACAGTGGTAATCAACTCCACAGTTCTGATGACAGGTTCCTTAATGCCCTCTGTACCTAAAATTCTAAGGTGAACAATAAAAACAATGTGGATACATGCAGCTTACATTTTGCAGCTGGACATGGCTCTTCATCAGGCTCTCGGACTTTGACAATGTACTGGACATCTTGAGGCTGTAGTTTTTCCCGTGCTGTGATTCTTTCAGTTGCTCTTGGATTTGTTTAGCCTGTTTCCTGCAGATATGAATATATAGATAAATATTTACATACATATATTGTTAATTTTTTATAGTTCTTTTCACAGTATCCATATTTGTCACATGTTAATGCTAGATAGGTAATATGAGCCAGAGAGACAGTTCTTAATACATAAAGAAATATCTCTGACTGGGGATAGTTTGGGATTACTCATCGTAGATGGGTTCACAAACAATGACACTCTAAAAAGAGAGACATGATTCCAATGTGTTCTGCTAGCCTGAAACTCCATGGATATAAGCAAGCCCTAACATGAAGTGTTCATGTATAAAATGACAGAGATTTCACAGAGAAATACCCAAAGTTAAAATCTGAAGCTAGGGTTTGGCTAACCTGTTGGCAAATATATATTTGTAGCTTATTCATATGTTAATGAGTATATTTTATTTTTACTTTGTTTGGAGAGTTTAAGTTATCAGGAAGTCAAGTAATAAAATAGCTAACTTTTTTTTAGATGCTCCTGAAGGTCAAATCTGGACTCTCATGTAGACTAGGCAAATCGTCTACCACTGAAGAGTATATCCGTTCTCCAACCGAGTTGACCATTAACGAGCTAATGCTTACACAGTCATTTGCAACATGTTTTTTAAAGTCCATTACACTCAATTTTAAAATTCATTTCCACAATAAGCCTTTGCAATGAGGCAATATTCTAAACCCCATTTGATAGAAGAGAATGCCAAGAAATGCACAAAGAAATGAAGTCATTTGCTAAAGGTTATTTAGATGGGAAAGGTTTCAAACCATCCAACAGTGCTGCAACCTCTGCTCAGAATCAAAGCTCAGAGCAGCCAAGCCACTTGTATATGGCCTTTCAGCTTCTAAAGGGGACGCTGAGATTGTTCTTGGATTGTGGAATCCCAAGAAATGTGCCCTTGTCTTCATACATTCATTATTGTTTATAACATTCAACATCTATACCAGAAGCGTGGACCAAACCACTCTCTGGTTAGTTTCCTTTCCCCAGGGTTCCACAACCCTAGACTCATAACATAATTGCACGATCATTTTCTAAAGTTTGCTTCTCCTGTTCTGAGCCCAGGAGAGATACCCCGATAAAATGCCTCTCACATAGTAAGCTCACCAGGCAAGCAGCTCTCAGGACATGGGCTCTGCTATCAGGGAGACTGACACATGAGATGGCAACCTCCAGTTGTCGTCCACCAGTTTCAGTTTTCTCACAATTATAGTGATTATGAATTCAACCTAAGTAATTTCCTTCAACCCATTTCCTTTACTTAGGTTGAATTCATAAGCACTGTCTCCCAGGGATACCATGGCAGCTACAGGCAAAGTGTTCCGCTTTTTCTTCCTCTTAGCCAGCACACTCAGTGCTGTGGAAAGATGCTGCAGAATTGAGGACATTGCCCCAAAGATGAAAGATTGTATTAATTGCCTCTCTCACACAACACCGGCATACTTTTTAAAAAGGATTTGAAGGTAATGAGCATCTTTGAATTTAAACCCCAGTGTTAAGTAGCTATCTGTTTAAACATTTCTTTAATCTCTCCAATTATTTGTGTGTGTGTGTGTGTGTGTGTGAATTTTTGGTCTAACCCTCTCAATTGCTTTAATGCAGTTAAGATAATCTATCTATTTCTTAAGAAGGAATTTATAGCCTATTTATAAAAATAATTCATCTCATGAACATGTAAGAAGCAAACAGCAGCCACAAAAAAACATGTATTTATGTGAAAAGTAAACAAGAAATTGTATGGGAGGGGTGCTAGTCAAAGAAATCAGCCCCAAGCAGTGAAAGGCTTAGCACAAAGCCAACAGTTACATCCATGAAATAAGACAGAAACACTATCTTTTCTAAAATCTCCTAATTCAGAAACTGGAAAGTATAAGGTTTTAAAGAAATAATATTCATAGAATGTCTGGGTGTGTTTCTTGAATCCTTTTATAGTTGACCTTCTACACCATGTTCATGCCAGCCTGACTTAGCAATACTTCAGGGTAAACGGCCTTTTTTTTTTCCCATTTGGAATCTGCCTTTGGATCTTTCTTGCCCCATTCTTTCTTGGTCCTATTCGTTCAAGGAGTTTGCTTGCTTGTTTTTCCTTCTCCCTTTAGCAAATGGGAAGAGAGGAAATGATTAATATCTGACTGCTTTGCTGTCCTCTCTGAGAACAACCACTCTCTACAAGGTCTGTATATGCACTGTGGGATGCTACCAGTTCAACAAAGTCAGGACCAAATTTATCAGGCTACTGAGCTTTAGTTATCTCCGGTGCAATGCTGCAGAAGGGATGCGTATAGTAGAGCCATGGATGCCACCCAGTCTGAGTTTCTGTGGCATCAGACCTTGGGATAGGAAGAGTGTTCTGAAATTCTTTTGGGTGTGTGTGGTGTCAGCACCTTTGAAAGTGGAGAAATGGGTACTGTGGAGTGGCAGAGGCTGGAATCTGGTGCAGTGAGATCTTTGCTCCCCTTTTCCAGAGACCTACAGTAACCTGCTGTTGTAGGTAGATTATTCAGTGCAGGTTGCCTGAGCGCAATTTCCTGTATTGTATGCTGGCAATATGAGGACAAAGACCTCCACTGCTGATGAAGACAACTGCAGCACATCAGAGCATCCATGTGAGCCCAGAATCTTTTACTCAGACCACAGCACATGGGAAGAATCAGGTGGCTATAGTGTGCGTACATTTTACTGACAAAACCAATTCCCAGGTTCCTCCACTATTTCCCCAATTTTTATAACTCTTTTCTACCCATAAAAATTTCCTCTCCTTTCCATGATTATGGTTTTAGGGTTGAGCCATGCGCTTGATTTTCAGCTAACTACAGACTGGTGCCACCAACCTCGTCCTTCTTTCCTGGGTAGGTTCAAAGTAAAGGGCAACTCCTTTAAGATTTCAGCTTCTAACTCAACCAGGTGAGCAAAAGGTAAAGGCTTCAGTTAATCAATCACATCAGCTCTAAATGGGGCCACGTGGGCTTACTAGAAATGATCATTCCTTTCAGCTACCTTTCGGCACTGCTGAAGGATTCAGTTATCTCCCTCGGAATATTTTCTGAGTGGAAGATGTCTTCATTTCTGCCACCTCATGCTATCCACCTCAATTATTGTTTTGGTCACAATGTTACTTTCTATGTGAGGTTGCCTGTTGGAACATCCTCCATGAATAAAGCTGTGGAAAGAGTATTTGGAAAGCTTGTAGAAAACACCAAGAAAACAAGACAAAAGTCTTGTGACTGGTGTTCCTCTATAACGTGGATTGTTCTAGGGATGTGCTTTTGTGTCCCTCCAGGGTGTAGTAAATAGGAGTGGCTTTACTTCAGATTGCCCATCATCGATTATTATTTAAGCGCTGGGTATATGCAGCTTAAAGTCATGCGACCTTTGCTTATTTGGTCTTGCTTACTCCACAAAATACCCCCAAAGTATAAATTGTCTGAAGCCCGGAATGGAGTTGGCTATTGCACGAGACTTTAGTCCACTTCAATAGGCTCCACTCTCCCAGGTTTATGCCACGAATGAGAGCAGGATCCGTTGCTGAGTTACTGGTTGATGAGGTTGCACAGTGCCAAGGGTACAAGAACAGGGAGAAAAGACCAGAGAAGCAACATCGGCATGGGGATGGGAAGTAGAAAATGAATGACTGTGAGCATGGAGCTTTTGACTAAGTAACTGCTCTCTCTATGCAGAAGGCTATATCCAGTCTATCAAACATGTAACTCAAGTGAACTCGTTTGGAGAGCAGTGAAAAGTGCCTTAGCATCCAGTTAGAACTGGAGCTTCCAAAGCTGACAACAAATGCATGCAGACATGCATACATGCATACATACATACATACATACATACATACATACATATGTGTTTGATACATCTGTATTATATATACTATATGTCCATATTTTGTGCACTAAAATTAATATCAAGCTGATTTTTTTTATCTCTAATATTAGGGAAAAGGAATGCAGATCCATGAATCCACAAGAAAAACGTGTGTGTTCTAAGAGTGGACCTTCAGTTTTGATAGGAGGGAGACCGCAGCTGAAATAGAATATATACTATTCATACCTGGGACGATTTTTGATGAGAAATATGATTCCAGTCAGAAACATCTTTCATTTTTATTATTTATATATTTATATACACTCATTTATTTATCTTTTTTCTATTATCCAACATACTTTTACTTTATTTAATATTCATATTGTAATACATTTTAATATATTATTTTTACTTTAGTTAATATTCATATCTGTAATACATTTTGATCAAATCCACCCCATACCTCTCTGAAGCGTCCTCCTCTATCCTCTTCCCACCATTTTTTGCTTCCAAGTTCATGTCTCTTTTAACCTTCCAAGACAACTTAGTGTTTCCTGTATGTGCATGGGTGTAGGACCTTTGACGGGAGCAGGAACATAGAGAACCTCTCAGGAACTGCATTCGTGAAAACTGACTCTTCTTCCCCCAGAACCCATGATTTGCCAATAGCTCCTCAGCTAAGGCAGGTAGGGGCAGAACATCTCAGTGTGTCATCCATCATCTGTGTCCTCTAAGTCTCTAGTGAGGAATCTGGTATTTAACAGTGTTACCACGAAACACACTGACTCCTCATTGTGCCCCAGCAACAAATATTGGTCTCAGAGCCCCCTTGCTGCCTAGGGAGAAGGACTGATGGCCCTGACCGCACAAATCCTGTACTTGCTTGTTTTCATTGTTAGGATGACTATAATCAATCTTTTGCTTAAATGTTCTACAACTCTACTACGTACTCTAGGAATAAGTGATTAGCAGCATCTTCACAGTGATTTACTTAATGTCCTGTAAATATAATATTACTACCTAATTTCTTTCTTGTACATAGCTCCTAAAAGCCGACACTCCTAATATTGAGCTGGGTGTGGCTACCCCTTGTGGACTAGAGTGCTGCTCTAAATTTGGCAGCCATCTAGCCTCCAAGTTCTAGAGTAGAAAGCAATGAATATTAACAACCCAAACCTCTCTGAAGTGTTCCTAATTTGAATACTAAGCAACGCCCTTCACAGCGTCATCTCATTTAACTCTTGCCCAAGTTCTATAAGGTATTTTTTTAATTCATATTTTGCCAAAAAAGAAAGCAGGAAGAAATATTCCTAGCAACATTAATTGATGTCAAATTGGAGATCCAAATTAATCTGTGGATAGTATAATATTTTAACCAGTGCCCTCACCTGGCCTCACTGGGGCTCCACCAGAGCAGGGAAACTCCCAACTATGGGCAGCTTTGCCATCAGTTAGAAGACTATATAAGCCAATTAAGCACTATAGTTTATAGCATACATTTAAATGAGAACTCCTGGGTGTCATAGCACCATATTTGTAATTTTGTACTTTGTTCCTTTCACAATTTAATATTTTAAAATAAATTCCCATATTATCTAGTCTATGTTCTCTAATGCCTATATGTTGGCTTAGTCCCTATCTTGTCTCAGAGCAAATGATGGAGACTTTCAAATGAAGACCTATTAGAAAATAATTCTCTGGTTATTGAAGGTATTCCCTTGAAGGGGAGAGTGAGATGGAACACAACCCCCCCCTTTTTTTTTCTTCTTCACATTCTGTCAAGGGGTAGAAGGCCCTCCTCTGTTACACACTGCAGCTATGATGTTTTGCCACACCCTGTCACAAAAAGCAATGAGACCGACCAATTCTGGATGAAAACAAACAAAACTGAGCCCAAAGAAGGCTTTGCAACTTCAACCTCTCACCTTTTTGCTAGTGCAACAGAAGCTGACTGATACATCACTTCAAAAATGCAGTGAAAGCATAACTTGAATGTTGCAAGGACAGAAAGTTAACCACTAGAATCTCAGTGTGACTGGCACACGTTTGGATATTACCTTTGTCACACACGACAATAGTAGTGATGTCTCATTAGTCTTTATTTAAAGTCATAATTGTAGCTCTCTTTAAAAATTGACATGTATGACTTACAGAGAGGGGTTATAAACTGTATCTGGAAAGTAGCCTAGTTTTGGAAGAGAAAATGGACAGAATAATAGTGGTCCAAAGAAAACAACTGCACATTGACTGAGATTTTAGACAGCCTGCAGGCATGTAACTGGAGCTAATGTCTTAAGGCTCAAGAACTCAATAGACTAACACTTTGATATCCAATTCCTTTCTCAAGTACAAAGGACATCATTTCCCTAAATAATTTCATCTATGTTTATTTATAAAAATACAGATTTATGAACATATTATTATGTATATAATATTTTTTTTTTTGGTTTTTCGAGACAGGGTTTCTCTGTGGCTCTGGAGCCTGTCCTGGAACTAGCTCTGTAGACCAGGCTGGTCTTGAACTCACAGAGATCCACCTGCCTCTGCCTCCCAAGTGCTGGGATTAAAGGCGTGTGCCACCACCGCCCGGCTCTATGTATATAATATATTTTTAACTCTATTTTTTGAATTATAAGTCCCTTCATCTGTAGATAGTTTCTTGGCAAGTGAAATTCAGAGCATATTCTAGTTCTATATCCCAAACTGAACCAATGCACATTTTTTGGTGTTCTCTCATTAAATGTGACTTAACTTTTATAAGTACAAGGTAAAATCTCTTTGAAAGTAAATGGATACTTTTATGGGTTTTTTCCTTTTTTTTCTGGGAAAAGACTTTTCTTATTGTCAATGGTTGATAGCATTTAGGTTCATAGCAGGCAATCCCCTGACTAGTTCCTACTGAGAAGAGTTAGCCCTTTCATGGAAGCTACTGAGCCTTTATGAAGACACGTGACCAAGTTGTGTAATCACTGTGTATCTGAAACGTCCCACAATGTGTATCTGAGAATGCCCTCCCCCCCCATGACCGCCTACATTCACTGTGGTCCATAGAATACTCTAATTCTCTGTAGATCACTGCTGAACCAGTGTGCAAAAACCCCCTCTGCTTAAAGCTGAAATTGAGACTATAAAGGAAAAGAGCTTTCTTTCGGATGTAACCTTTAATCACCAGAGAAATGGTCTTACTTGCTTTTGAAGTAGAACGCTGCACAGAACATGCCCACGATGACAATTCCAAAGACGATACATGAAATTGACAGCACCTGCCTTTGGTAAACGTCTTCACTCTCTGTGAATTTGAAAAACAGAATTAGAATGGATGCTAGTGGAGTTCACAGGCAGCAAGCTCCATCCTCCTACTTCTGAGCTGGTAGGGATCTTTCAATGCCAGCTTTCTTTTTGTTCCTGTTGTGAATGGAAGAAAAACATGAGGAATTTATTATGATTTGGTTTCTTTGTAGAGATCTATACAGTAACCTGCTACTACTTTTAATTATTGCCTTTTGGTATTTGTACAGTCAAATAAGTAAGCACTCTTGCTCAAACATATAACAACTTGATAAATATTATAAGTGAATTTTATAACTTCTATACATTGTAGAAACATATGTTCTGGAAAGTGTGGTGGACCCAAATTAATGAACTAGAAGGTGAGAGTCTCCATACTTTCTGGTGCCAGCAACAACTGAGTTTTCTTTCTTTCTTTCTTTCTTTCTTTCTTTCTTTCTTTCTTTCTTTCTTTCTTTCTCTCTTTCTCTTTCTCTTTCTCTTTTTCTTTTTTTTTTTTTTTCGAGACAGGGTTTCTCTGTAGTTTTGGAGCCTGTCCTGGAACTAGCTCTTGTAGACCAGGCTGGTCTCGAACTCACAGAGATCTGCCTGCCTCTGCCTCCCGAGTGCTGGGATTAAAGGCATGAGCCACCACCACCACCCGGTAACAACTGAGTTTTCATTTTGTGGCGCTCAGATCTCTGTGCTGTCTGATGTTTGTTTGGTTCTTGGCGATCTACCCATTATTCCTCTTTCGACTACTCTGATATCTTCATCACTTTATGAAAGAGATTTTAAGGATTTATTTAAATATCTTATTCACCACATCTGTAGCCATCTTAGTGTCCATGTTCTGGCATATATAGACAGCAGCCTCTGGAATAATGTGGTACCTTATCTCTTGCCATTACAAAATGTGCCCATTCGGCCACTTCACTCTTCAGTTGCTACAATTTACACTCAAATCTTTTTCTAAAACAGGCTTAGTAAAACAATTCTTCCATCATATTAAGAGCTTTGCATAGCTTCTAGAACTCCGTCTGCAAATTCTCATCCTTTTGTTTTTATTTCTCTCTTTAAACACAGGAACAGCATAGGACATGGTGGTAATCAGGAACTCATTTGCAAACGCTCTCTTCAGCTGCTCCCATGTACTTTCCCAGTCATCTATTTGGCAACATTGCCACACAAAAATTCAAGAAATTTATAACCGTTACTACAGCACCTTCATACTACACCAAGAAGATTGTGCTACCAGGCAAGTGCTTTATAAGAGATGAAGGCTGAAAATTGGATGTCTTAGGTGGGCACGAAGTCCCCAACAATGTCCTTAGCTCACTAGCTCCCATGACCAGGTTCATTCATCTACTTCAATTATAATCAAGCACCTGACCCCTCCAAACTTCTTTTATTCTCAGATATTTTGGTTCCTATGAAAAATGAGGCCTGTGTAGAGAGACTATTCCAACATTCTAGAGTAAAACACACACACACAAACACAAAAAAATTAGCACAATCTTTCTCACTCATTCGCTCCCTTTCTCTATTTCTTTTCAATCTCAGTTCCTCCCTCCCTCTTGACTAGTTTAGTCAGTGGTTCCTCAAACTCCAGTGTGCAATTCAGTCATCTTGAAAGCTATGAGAGTACAGGCCACCTTCACTTGTTCCTGGGGAGTTACGAGATAGCACACTTCAGTGTGTACAGACTTTTGCTTTTGGAAAAGTCCTCAGGGTGACTGTGGTGCTTTTGGATTAGGAAACCCTTGAGAAAGCATTGAATGGAGTGTGTTCAGCATGTGACTCGCTGACTCTTCCACATCTGGTAAGATGTGTTTACTTGTATTTAATGTTGATCATTAAAATATAGATAGATAGATAGATAGATAGATAGATAGATAGATAGATAGATAGATAGATAGACAGATAAGCTTAGGAAAGCCTACAAACTTTTAATGAACTTTCTCCCAAAGTAGACATAGCAGAAGGAAAATTTTCATCTAACAAAGAACAGCTTTAGTGGGTACACATATTTATAGTGGATAAATATATAACATTATGAAAATTTGAACACTTTGACCTTAAGTGAACGATAATGCCTACTTGGACCACTTCTACTGGACACTGTCCTATAGTCAATGTTCTAAAGGAAAAATAGAAACAAACCCATTCCATTTGAAGCAATGGATGAAAAAAAATTATCTTTTCAGATATTGTGGTCACCTGTTGGAATCTACAAAAGGAGCTAGGAGCATTGGCAGGTGAACTTAGCATGTTTATAGTACACAGGGATGAAAGGAAAAAAATCTTGTACATGTACATAGTAGAAACAAAGTAAGAGCAGCACTGTCTTGGAAAATAAAAGGAATAGAAACACTCAACCTGAGACCTGAACGTAACATATAAGCCAATTTCTCATGACTTAAAATAAACACCCAAAGATTGAGATGGCAATTTTGAATAAATTCTATTCTGATAATAAATTCTCAGAAAATGTAAGAATGATAAAGAAGTATCCATGGGACATAAGAGAATCTCAAATAAACTATGGTGAGAAGATGGAGTTAATAATAAAAAAACTGAAGTCAATGCTTAGTATGCCATTACAAGGACATAGAGTATAGATCTTTCTTGACTATTCATAGATTTTTAATAGATATGACATACCATTTTAAAAACAGCTTCACAGAGTTAAGAATATACCAACTTTATGAGGGAAGCATTTCATTCTTAGGCATTTAATCAGGTTTAATAAAAAAACTGATTTTCTTTTGTATGCGAGTTTACAAAATATTTCTGTTACTAATCCTCATTAAAAAATTTCCAAACACCCATACATAGGTCAGTGAAAACATTGTGGTATATCCGTTCAATGGAACATTACTCAACAATAAGAGAAACTTATCAATGAAATAATCAATAATGTAGATGAATCTGAATTCACTCAAAGTGAGATGTCATACACAGATCCATGCTATCTATATACAACCACACAAAACTGAAGCAATTGGAAGTACATGACAGATAGGTGAAATGATTATCTTCTGTCTGTGGAAGTGAAGGGTTAAAGATTACAGAGCAATGTTAGGAATTTTTAAGTTATAGACACATTCATTATCTTAATTTCAGTATTCATTATCTTAATTTCAATGATCATATCATTGGTAGATAATTATTGCTTGTTGTACCATATTAAATATTTTAGGCAAGGTTCATTTCATCCCAGTTATAGCAGTAAAAAAATTAATTCTGGGGGATAAATTAAAATAGGAAATATATTGAGACTATAAAGAATTTCAGAGTATAAAATGAAACCTGGCCTTTTTTGAGTTCCTTTTAAAATTATGCTCCCACAAACCCTTCTCCACACAGCAATCTATATAAATTTATATTATATAAATTAAGTCATACATACACATGTACATTATGTTTATATACATGCATATACCCATTATTATACATGTTTCACTATTAAGCAAGCTAATGGCTCCTATGTTAGAGTAACAACAATATCACAAGGTTTGAATATGAAAAGTGCTTAATGTGACATCTATTTTTTCCTAGAATGTCTGATGTTTTACTCTGCTGCCTCTTGATACCTGCTGTTCCCTGTCCCTGCCTGCCTGCCTCCCTCTCAATATCTCTCTCTGTGTCTCTCTGTAGTATATTCTTCTGTCTTTTTTTTTGAACAGAGATAAACTTTTTTATTTATATTTGTTTATATATTTTTTTTCAATAATTTTTTATTGAAAAAAAATTTCTGCCTCCTCCCCGCCTCCCATTTCCCTCCCCGTCTCCCTTTTCCCCGCCTCCTCCCACTCTTCTCCCCCTCCCCCCACTCCTCTCCCCCTCCCTCTCCAGTCTGAAGGGCAGTCAGGGTTCCCTGCCCTGTGGAAAGTCCAAAGTCCTCCCCGCTCCATCCTGGTCTAGGAAGGTGAACATCCAAACTGGCTAGGCTCCCACAAAGCCAGAACATGAAGTAGGATCAAAACCCAGTGGCATTGTCCTTGGCTTCTCAGCAGCCCTCATCTTGGGGATGGGGTGGGAGGGGGTAAGGGGAGATGGGGAGAGAAAAGTGAGAAGGGGAGGTTGGGGGGGAACTTGGGAAACAGGATGTTTGGGATAAAGGAAGGTTGGATAGGGGAGCAGAGAAGCACATACCTTAATTAAGGGAGCCATCTTAGAGTTGGCAAGAGACTTGGTGCTAGAGGGGCTCCCAGGTGCCCAGGGCGATGTCCCCAGTTAGTTCCTGGGGCAGCTGAGGACGGAGAACCTGAAATGACCCTATCCTATAGTCATACTGATGAATATCTTGCATATCATCATAGAACCTTCATTTGGAGATGGATGGAGATAGAGACAGAGACCCACACTGGAGCACTGGACTGAGCTCCCAATGTCCCAAGGAGGAGCAGAAGGAGGGATAATATGAGCAAAGAAGTCAGGACCACGAGGGGTGCACCCACCCACGGAGACAGTGGGGCTGATCTATTGTGAGCTCACCAAAGCCAGCTGGACTGCAACTGAAAAAGCATGGGATAAAACCGGACTCTCTGAATATTCTTCTGTCTTTTTTTTCATAAATTGAAAAAAATTGAATATACCTATCTAAATATCTTCCACTATGCTATAAGCCTCACTGGCTAATGACACGGGAGTTTTATGTTTGTTCATTGTCTGGGTATTGTTTCTCCAGCTCCTCCAACGGCCTTTCTCAGCAGCCTAAATGAGTGGATGAACAAGCATTTCTGTCTATGTACATGGCCTGATTTAAATTGTATTGGCTCTTGCCTTAAAATGCACTTAGGTGCAGCACCTCTGTTCATCAAAGTAACTTTTCCCAAGCTCTGAAGACTGGCTCAGTTCTGAGGTGAGCACAACCCACCCTTCCTTTGATGCTAGGCTCCTCCCATAGCTGGGGCATTGTCATCCACCTGACCTGATTCTGTATTCCCAAAGTTCTCTTCACAAACCACCCAACTGTGCTGCTCAGTTCAGTTGTTTGGCCTGACTGCTTGGAGCTGA